AAACCTTCAAATGTTTCTACTTTAAGTTTGCTAATATTGATATTACAACTATATATAAGTATGTATTATGCATTTATGTGTGAATATATAACTATATAACTGTACAAATGGAACATGTTATTTTGTTCCTCACTTATACAACAATAAGTGATCATCGTGTCATGGTAATTAACCGTGAATTAATCGGTTAATGATGTATGAAGCAGATCAATAGCATTATGAGATTATCAACTCAAACGAATGAACGAAAATGAAACGGATTTTTTCAAAATTTGGAATAAGTAAAGATATAAAATATACAATGATTAGTATCTGTGTTGAACATGAATAATTTTAGCTACAGTATAAACTGTTAATAAATCAGTTTTACCAAAAGTAAGAGAAATTAAACCACAAATTCTTAAAAACATTGGACCCTTTCATATAATGCAGGTATAATTCTGGTAATTTGCTCAAATGTAACAAAAAGAAACGGAATTAAAATAAAACTATAATTTGATATACAAATTACATACGGTACTGACGTTATGATCACTTTAATTCAGTTTTCATAAAAATTGGCTATTATAGCCCGGACGTGTTGTTGTCCAAAATCGAACAAAAATAATAATACATCCTGTGAATTTTATTTGCACCAATATCCTGTCGTATTCAATTACCCCTTCATAAATTGAATGCACAGATCTAAGAATAAGAGACAGATTAATGTATTCTATTCCTATATTAACCTTTTCATATACTACTTAAAAAGTTCTTAAAAAGATTTCTTTCTTTCATATTTTCTTAATTACCTTTCTAGAGAATCTTGCAATAGTATGAAAAGATACACTGTCATATTATAGCAATAAAATATATTAAGTGAATTTTAAAGAAGCTTTCATTCAGTACTATAATGTACTGTACTGATTTGTTTCATAACTCCATGTTTTCAGTATCTGATGAGTTTGGATATAAAATTGATTTAAGGTTCGAAAATATCATTGCAACCCATATTTATGAAGGATTTAGATATTACGACGTTGAAGAGCACATAGTAAGCGCAAATTCCAGACCATAATTAATAAAAAATATTTTATATATAGCCTGATGGTAGTAAGATTCAATTTTAATAAATTCAAATTCATAACGATATATATGTTGCCATAGATCATATTGTGTTTAAAGCATATGTAACACGTAAATCACTTGGTGACATGCTCTATTTTTTGTCTCTTTATCAGCTTTCTTGATTTATCACAGCTGGGGCAACAGTAACAAGATAGAAAACTTGTTTTACATCCCCGAAACACAAAACTGGTACAATCCTCTATTCCACGTAGTCCCACCAATCCTTTTCATACCCTTCATGTACATGTTCTAAAAGTACTTTCCTCCGGCTATCGCAGTATCTTAAACAAATAATAACAATAATACATTTTTTACTCTTACAATGATACATTGATTATTGAAATTATTTTTTTTCATTTTGAATAACTTACCTATATTTATCTTGAACTTTTTGTTTAATATCAGCAAGGTTTTCACTTGTAATATCTCTTTCAAGATATTCTGAGAGACGTTCTGTTGTTCCCTCTAGATCTTTTTGGTTGTCTTCAAAAATCACAGATTGGTTGTTTTTTCTCAAATAGTAAGCAAAAACGTAAGTATACATAAGAGTCTGTCTACAGGAACATAAAATATCTACTGCTTTTTTTAAAAATTGTACCTGAAAATATAAATATGAAACTTAATGTTGAAGAAATATATGTATGAATACTTTTCTTATTTGATTTTAATTAATTTTACCTCAATCCAGGACATATTATGTTGCTGCATTTCTTCCATTTTTTCTTTTACACTCGCATAAAGTTTACTTTCGAATTTTAATGACTGCATATGATTCATGTATCTATTACAGTAAAATAAGTATCTTTGCAGCGCAGATCTTTTTTTCTCTTGAGCATCTCTGGCAGCTCTAGCTTCTTCTTCATCATAACGATTACAACTATACCAACTAGAACCATGTGGTTCCCAAGGTCCAAGACACACCCAACAAAAGTCAGTTTTGCAATTTTGATTTTTGCACACCATATGATTACATCCACCATCCTTTTCAATAGTGACGTTGCATTTGGGACATTCCTTCGTATTTGCAGCGATCCAATTTGATGTTTCCGAGTCATCGTCGCATTTTTTTATCCATTTACGTAATAAATGACATTTCACCGGATCGTGCCAATTTTCACCGCAATGGAAACAGAATGTATGCCCGCATTTACAAGTTACTGGTCTGGCTTCAATATACTGTACTTTTATAGCATTATTACAATCTGGAGATGGACACCACCTTAGTAACCTATTACACTATAAAACCAAACAGTAATTAGTATATTTTAAAAATAATTTTCCTGCAAAATGAAAATAGTAGAATAGATAAAATAAAACAATAATTACTTCAACAAAACTATTAGTTATTAAATGTTGATATTTTAGCTTGACTTTAGAGTCTTTTACAAGACGCATAACACTGGCATCATCAACTAATATGTCGCAAGCATGTGCTGCGCATGCAATTGTTTGACCAACTCCTTCTTCCATGATCTTAGTTGTGAGATATTCACCCCAGCAGCCAGTACAAAAGCGATGTCCACACTCAAGTCCAGTCATCATCTAATATGTATTTAAAAATTTTAATTAGATTTCGAAAATATTATTGTGCTATTAGTGAGTAATTATATTATTATACATACTGCAGATGGTTGAACCATATAGCAGATTCCACATTCCTCAGTACCATTTGTTGACATCTTCCTTGACTAAATGAAAATTACAAATATATAAATTTTACTTTAATTATACACAAAGAAAAAATATTGGAACCTACTAGAGCACTCTGAGAAGATGGATTTCTATTTATTAATGGACCCTTCCTAAATGGATTAATAACACGCGCTTCAGCAAATAATTTCTCTTGGTCACCATCATAAAAACGCTCCATTAATTTTTCTTTATCCCATTTGAAATGATTTAATAAAATACGTGTTGTTGTTGCTGGTATCTAGAATTAAATTATGTCAATGGATTATATTTATTATACCATCAATATTATAAAAATTATAAAGAATAAACATTTATTTTGTAATATACTTCTACAACTGTGTTGACTTCTTTTATAGAATCGATCATATGTTGTACTATCTCTTCTGTAGATAAAACTTCAAAGGGATAATCGTCAACATCTGTTGTTCGTTCCCTTGGATTCTCAGCTTCAATTTCCATAGCAAAATCCACATCATCACCACTGGATTCATTACCAGAATCAACATCGTCGTATGTCTCTTCTTCTGAATCCATTGTGTTATTGATTTATTAAGCAATCAGAATGCCAATATACACTTTATTTTATTCTCTACAATTTGCACCTGTACATACAACAATGCAAATCATGTTGCAGCTGTACTGAATCTAACACTGATTTTTTTTCTGTTTTACACACTATATTTCATTCATTTAATTACACGATGTAATAATAAACAAGTATTCATTATAGTTAACGGAAAACAGTACTTTGAAACATTTTTATCATAATTAAAAATTTACAAATTAAGAAGTAATAATTAGACGAGTAGTTACACCAGTACGAACTTAAAGATTATTCTGTCACTTTGGAGGATAAATGTACAAAAAATTAAGGTAACACAAGGAACTGTATCGCACCTGTGCACGCGAAATATTGTTGTAGCGGAACAAGTGAAAACAGCTTATGTTTCAGCACATGACGTCATCGTTAGCTACTTCCCGAATAAAGCCAGAAGCTTTATTGTCCGTTTTCCCTTACTTATTGCGTACAATGTCGCGCGAAATTTACTGTCACTACACTATGTGAACCTTCCACTAACATGGAGGGTAAAAAAATTTGTCCAATATTCCTACAATGTTCGTAAGCAAGAATAAAATCAGCTGCCAAAACATCAGAGTTGAACTCCGGTAGCTGATACATGAAATGCTACTTCCACGGGAGGAACGATGAATGGGCTACCGTGGAGATAGCCAGTCAGGAATTGACTGTGTATAATATTTTCTCGTTATAAGCTTGAAATTGTCACAATTCAAGATGATTGATAAAAAAAACACTTGGCTTCCTTCCATCGAAAGTAACGTGGAGAAAGTAAAAATGGAATAGAAAATGAAAATGTTAGCTATTTATTTTAATGAGTCCACTAATAAGGATGGCCGTGAGCTTATAAGATGGAAGGTAAGCCAAACTTATAGCGAGGAAATACTACACACAATGGCGTCTTGTGTTTACCGAACTCATATTTTGCATTCCTCGATTTTTTTGTTAAGGCTTGTTTTAAAAGTCGACTAAGACCGCATACAGATGTATACCCAACTAAAGTTCGTGAATTAATAGTAGAATAAATTATTTTTATATGTTGACTGTTAAATCCACAATTATATATACGTTAACATATATTTTATACAATATATAAGTTGCATTTCTATATGCGTATGCTATACATATCATACATATGCATATATATATATATATGTATACACTTTTATCTGGTAAGCAAAAAAGATGAAATGAATATTTTGTATTGTTTGATAGTAGGGAAGATGTTAAATATTGTATAAGTTAGGTAAACAGATTTGTGAAAACGTCGTCTATCAAATGTGAAATCAATGAACTAAATAAAGAAACTAAAAGGAATATTTCGAAAATTGAGGGATGAAAATTAACTTCGATAAATTTAGTTGAATGAACAAATTTTAAGGAATACGACATCCGTCATAAATCAACGATTTCTTCCAACAAACACGAAACACTAACACACTTAACGCGATATCTGGACAACTGATCGACGTCGGAACACTTCACAATTTTAGAAGATGTATTACCATGCACGACAATATTTTCAGCCATTGCATCCAGTCAAGTTACCGAATTAATAGGCTAATCGGATAAAACCATAAATTAATCTAAAATGCACTGTTTGCCGTAAAAGAATGGACGAGCTTATAGCTCGAACACTACAGTCACGTCCAGTACCATAACTTCTTTTCGATTAACTAGAAAAATATTATTTTTTTCACTGATAGAGTTAAGGCTAACCGATAAGTGAATAGGAACAGACACAAAATTTCGTGTGATATTAGCCGAGAAATTGAGAATCAATTAGTGACACGACAACGAAACGTCTCGTCACGAAGTGCTGTTTCACTGACTTGAGTCAACTACTTGAAGTTTGCTCCGTTGGTGGCGCACAGCTGACGCACATGGGCGTCTCCACGGAGGGTACTACTTTGACATAACTATTTAAATAGTGTATATTGTATTGTCCCTAGTGCTTCAGATTCTACTTTATTGATATTACTAACATAAAATCAACCACAATTTAAACAAGACTTTTAGAAATGTTATAAGCAATACCAAAAATTACCAAGGGATTGTGTGTTCTTAAACATTCCACAGTGTTTGATAAAGTGATGTTAATCCTAAGAAACACTGTAAATAACCAGCAATTACTGCGCAATGCGTCTACTAATTTACAAAGAAAATAAACTGCATAGAAAGTACATTTCTTGGATTAATGTTATAGTTTATTTTATTTTATAATAACATACACATCAGGTTTTTTTTTAAATTTTCGGTAATCTGTTTATATAGAATTTTACCTGGTTACGCCAATGTGTGTACGAATGATAAACCGAGAAGCTCACAACGTTCTGTGAAGTTAAGTTAACCCCATCGTGTTATAATATTCGGAATAGGTATCGATGTGAACACTGAATTATCAGGCGAGATGAATTTGCCTAGCGTGAGTGATTATTCTTTACTAGAAAAACTGGGGTCTGGAAGTTATGCGACTGTCTACAAAGCGTATAAGAAGGTATGTGAATTTTGAGGTTCGGAACGTAAACGCAACTGGAACATATGACAGCAGTGGCGTATTCAATTTAGGCGGGAGTCACAATTTTATAACTCCGAATTGTAATTTCCATGCATATATGTAAATGATGCAATGTTTAACTTTTTTCATTCAATTTAATTTTGAATATACGTATCTCTGTTGTCTAAATTGTAAATACGTTGAAATTAAAATGTTTATACCATACATTTAAGATGTTGAGCTATTTATGAACCATTCGATGTGGCTTAAGTAAGTTAGAGCAAAAATTATGCAAGATAAGATTATAAATAATGAGACGTTAAAAGGTTTATTAATCACTTATATTTTTTGTCACTTTATTTCTTACTAAGCACTGCAATGCAGTAACGGAATACATGGTATACGTCATGTCTCATGAACAATTTAATTAATTAATAATATTACTGGAATAGCGATGTCAATGCAAATTTGACAACTTTTAGCCACTCGTTTATTATGGTAATTAAGTATACGGATTCGAATTTAACGGAAGATTAATTAATCATTTGTGGGCTGCGATTACGGTGAATTTAAAGCGCGGCAACCGTAACAAAAATTAAAATCCCGCCAACAGAAAATGTCCAATGAAATAATTATATAGCTTTTTCAGTTAGTAATATTTTTTCTTCTTTAAGTGCGTACAAAATCACGAAAAATATTATTAAATATAAACTTTTATTTTCATCAGCGATTGAAATTTAATTTTTTAAAAATAATTTTTATAAAGTAATGAACCAATTATGAAATATAATTAAGAAATTGAAGAATTATTCATATTTTAATGGGGAAAAACACTTTAAAGATATTAAATCATATGAATGGTTTAAAGCTATTAAAACATATATTAACTTATGAAAGAATTGCTTGTTTTTATATTATAAAGTATTCACTGTTAAATAACAATAAGATGCTTATATCGAACTAAGTTGAACAATTTTGTAAATTTTATACATATAATATTCTATATAAGCATCAATGTAGTTTATATCCGATTTATAAAAGCATTTTTAATATTTTTGTATAATGACAAGTTAAATTTGAAAAATTCATCAAATAATCAATACCTACGTGTCCACACACCACCATTTTGGTTCACTCGCTTCGTTATGGATCACCGCGATACGAGATGCGAGGACGAGTTTATACGATATGAATAATTTCGTCTTTTTCATTTTGCACGACAATAAAAAGTGTTCTTGTGACATCTATGGCAAGACATGAAGTACACGTTTCAGTTTATAAACTTCATAATATTGAATTTTTCTAATGTAGATATATAAAAATTTTGTCTAAATATATGTAAATGTTTGTAAAAAAAAATTACAGATCGAAATATGCAGTGCCTTTGATAAATAATATTGCTCACTTTTTGTTAAAAAGAAATGAATACCTCCATAATATCTTGGGCCTGATAAGGAACTTTGATCGTTTTCATATGACAGTATATATTATTGATACTTGTATTGTTTAGTCGTGTCACCTTCGTGTAAATAACGTAATTTAGTTCAGTGTTTTGATTGTCGACTAGATAAGAAAAGTATCCACCTTCCACTGGTTTACAAGTGTATTCAATCATACGTGTATCGCGACACCTATATCGTCGCGAGAAAGTAGCCTTATTAAACAATTTGATGAAGATTAGCACTTTTAGCCAGTTTCATTGACGAACTTTTTCACGAATGCACTACACGTGGAGAATAAGATATCTCGTGATTCTGTTATCAACACTGAATGTATCACACACTTGTGTCAATACCGTTATTACTTTATTTCAATATCCGCGACATTACCTTTCAACATTACCTATAACAAATAGGTGATTTCATCAGACCGCAATTGTTATTCTTGTTATCTAATATAATTACAACCGTAAATTAAATCACTACAAATACACATTAGGAATCTGGCAAATACGCAGGAATACATTTGCAAATACGTTTGCGTAGAAACGGATGCTAGGATCCATTAAAAGTTTTCATTGGACAATTCGGAAACAGAAGTTCTTGAAAATTTGCTCGAAATATATATCAGTAATAATAGCGTGAAGCAGAAGGCATAAATTTTCATTTTAATACTGCAGCTTAAAGTTTTAAGTGTCAGTTCTTACTTGTTGACCTAGATGTTATTACTATATACTCGGAGAGAAAATTTCTCAAATAAATTTCCTTTATACCAATGCATAATAATCAGTCTTCAACTTTCGATGGTGGTCTAAATTCAAGTATTTTGAACATTTTTCTTACATCATTTTGCTATGCACCCGAAGAACTTGATGTGTGCAGTATTTCATAGAAATCTGCGTTGAAATTTTGATTGCTACTAAAATTAATCATTAAAACCAGTGATAACTATAAATTACGATCTTCAAGAACTTCGTGAATGGTTTGGGTCTCACCTGGACGGTGTTCTCGGCTGCTCGCCGCATCTCATGCCCATCGCTAATTGGACGTAGTAATACTTATTGAAGTTTACACAAATGCACTAACCTTTGCGCCAGTTTTTATTATTATTCCGTCATAATACAAAACAGAAATCGTCGTTTGATCTGCGTGTCGCAGATTCCAGTGCGCTCGTTTTTAATCTATTGCAATCAGACTGGTCTCTGTCAGCCGAGTGGCTCCGTTGATTTGAGAGGTGGCCAGAAAAGATGGTTGCATTGAAGCTTCAAAGAAGTAAGTTATCTCAAGGCGATATAACGTAATCCTATTGTTGGTCGTTTGTAGGATGGATGCCGAGAGGTAGTCGCAATCAAATGTGTAGACAAAACGTCGCTGTCCAAGTCGGCTATCGATAATCTCGTCACGGAGATCAATCTTCTGAAAATTCTCAAGCACGAGCATATCGTGGAAATGAGGGACTTTTTCTGGGACGAAGGGTTAGTAGGACCCCAAAAACTCATTAGACGATACGACTAAACTAATAACTGTGTCCATACAACGAGACTTCAGTTCTTTAAAAGTGATCGAATCAATCGTATAATAAATAGTAACGTTTCCATTAGAGTCACTGAGAAAATGGCACTTACAGTCTTCCACTGTTGTCATTCAATACATTCAACTTAAACAAAATAGTAGTCATACCTGCTCTGTAGTATAATTGATCGCCTACCTGTTCCGAGCAGTGCGTAAAGACGACTCTATCACCTAGCGTAACTTAGGCACATATACATCGTAATGGAGTACTGCGACGCCGGCGATTTATCGAGTTTTATAAGAAGGAGGCATAAGCTACCCGAACGAATTTGCCGTGGGTTTTTGCAACAGCTCGCTTTGGCGCTGAAATATCTACGTACCCATAATGTCTCCCACATGGATTTGAAGCCACAGAACCTGCTACTAACGAGAAAACCACAGTTGGTATTGAAAGTCGGAGGTTTGTGCCCGCGCCCGAAAAGTGTTCAGTTTGCGATCAGTCAAAGTTTACCTTCCTCGCCATTGGACCATCCGATCTTTTCATTTCAGACTTCGGTCTCGCCCAGTACCTATCCAATTCCGAACAAAAATTTGCTATTCGGGGCTCCCCCCTCTACATGGCGCCGGAAATCTTGTTGAAACGGAAATACGACGCCCGCGTCGATCTATGGAGCGTCGGTGTTATCATGTACGAGTGCCTTTTCGGCAAAGCCCCTTATTCCAGTAACAGCGTTCAAGAATTGGCCGAGAAAATCAAGGACACTCGACCTATAGAGGTGATTACGATATTGATCTCCTTTGTGAGACCAAAAACAAAATATATTGACTATACACATGTATATGCGTATATACACATGTATACATAGGTGTGTATATATTTCCATATATTATGTAAATTATACACAATTCATACACCTGTTAACTGTAGTACTTTACCTATTGCCTACTGTATTTGCATATACAGGGTGTTTTGAAGTTACCACGTTTGATACGGGATACTCTTCTATCTGTAAATTTGGAAAAAAATGTGATTAAATATTGATGTGAAAATGTGAAAAAATTGAAATATGAGTGATTCAGGAAGTACTATATTTGTAAGATCATAGGTTTTTTCACGAGTGCAATAATACGTGTGCATTTAACAACTGCATGTTACGAAATATGTTAAATAAATATACTTCTTAAAACGTGGGTTGCTAATACCGTATATTCGTAAATATTTTTCATATTTCCCGATGGCATACTTTTTCACGTCAGGAAATTGGCTAAATTTTGAATGTTTTCAGCAAGATGGCGCACTAACGTAGAATTCACGGGAGGCCGCACAATTTCTAAAATATTAGTATGACAACAACCTGACTTTTTTATAGGTTTATTTAAAAACTAAAAATATTCACCTCTTACGAAATGAATAACTAAAGTACTTTCACTTTTGTATAAAAACAATAGAAAAACAAATTACGGAATTTCGAAAATATAAATGTTTATTTTACATATTTCGTGAACGAATCATTTTTCGAATTCTATGTATACAAGAAAAAGTATACATTTCCTTTTAAACAAATAATGCAAATGTCAATGCATGTATCGTTGCATTTGTGAAAAATGTACAAGGTGATTCATGTAATTTTAACAAGCAATTTTTTGCTTGACTGAAGTTATGAAAAAATATTACAGCAGAAAAATGAATGGTATAAAGTCTTGCATATATTTATGATCATAGATTTTTCATATATGCAATAATGTACGTGCACTTTTTTAAATTAGAACGTCCTCTTTCTTTGTATGAGTCGAATCCTCTCTTCATTGTATATGAAAAATTATTAGCATAATACAGTCGCAAAATATTTATTTCGCGAAATATTTTGGAAAAAGGTATTTATTAATTTTTTTGTAACTTCAGCTAGGGAAAAGATATGGTTCGTTACAGTTGCATGAATCACCTTGTATAGTCTTATATACGCACAATACTTTATGAAATATTAATTTTTCTTTGTAACATGTTCTTTTAATTCCACTGTGGCAAAAGTTACAACCTTTGTAGTACATGCTAAAATTTGTGTCACTATATTCTTTGTTTTGGAAAAAAAACTGAAGCCAAAAAAATATGAAATTTTAGTTTGAAGCGCTACTGACTCTTATCGATGAATATGAATCTGTGTTCAAAATTTAAAGGTGGAAAGTAAAAATGTGATGTAATTGAAACACATGATTAATGCAAGTAATTCTGTTAAAATTCAATGATATTAAAGTGCAAAATTAATTAGAGTAAAAAATAAATATCAATTACTTGTATATTCTAATACTATTGATTGTTGTTTTTATACTTAACATTTTTGTTATAATTAAACTGTAAATATTTATCAATTCAAATGTATATGGAATAAAAACTTTGATTAGACTTATTATTTTAATAGAAGAGATGCATTTTTATTTTATATTAATTTCCGTTAATAATTATATAACAATTAGTATTACTAAATAATTCATAATTGCTAAAACAATTTAGTAATCAGTTTCAGTGACGTACACAAATATTAACAATGCGACAACAACTCTTCAATAAAATTTTCCCTGGCTTGTAATCCCATAACATTTCTAATTTCCGTTTATAAAACATAGTGACACAGTTTAATCGCTTAACTTGTGGACACCCTGTCTAAATATAGAAATGTGTATACGCAAATGCAGTTGCGTAATTAACTATAACTATACATATACATGACTTATATCTGTGTTGCTAGTTTCTATATATATACAAAGTATATACCCTTACACAAATAAAAGTATCTGAGTAGTTTATTCCATTCGTGTGTAACTCAATTATATATATATATACTATATACTATATGTACTTGGCGGAACATCTTAAATTCATAATACTTGAAATCTTTAACGATAGAATTTCTAAATCGATTAAACCCACTATTTTCAAATTTCGTGTTCAACGATTATTGAAATTAATAAGTCTCCCTATCAAAAAATATTAAAGAAATTAATTTATTTATGCATATACTATAATATAAGTCATGGATAATTCCAAGGAACGCATTCTTATAACATTTCGATTTTTTAGTTGTTCTACCATTGTAAAACATTGTTACTATTTACAATGATAAAAATTATATTTATTATTCCAATGTATCGAAGAGAACTGCAAAAATACTAGCATGTCTTTAAAGATGCAGCTAAGAAGAAAGTCATTTGCGCGTATCATTACAAACACACCAAAATTCTCTCAAGTATTAAAATCATCTTACGTTTGCCTTGTATTTGCCAATTACAAAAGGATAAATGAAAATCGAAGAAGAGGGTTTTATGTTCTTATAATTCTATTTCGTTTTTCTGTCGATATCGCGGACTAGTTACCAAAAGGGTGTCACGTGTCCTGTGAGTGCAAGAACTTATTGTTGTCCTTGTTGAAACACGACCCTGACGAAAGGATAACGTTCGATGATTTCTTCGCCCATGATTTTCTGGATTTGGTGCACGCGCCTACGAAAGAGAATTATGAGAAGGCGGTAGAGTTAATTCAACAGGCGGTAAAAATGGACACGGAGAAGAATCCGAAGGAAGCGTTTCACCTTTATTGCGAGGCGCTCAGATACTTCATTCCTATTTTAACAAGTAAGAAGTGTTCGGTTCGGTATAAGTAAAATAAATTCATCATAAACAGATCGATACTGCGGACCGATCACTTAACATATGTAATATTCTATTAGATGAGACCGAACCGAAACGAAAAGAGATTTTAAGGTCACACGTGAGTAATTACATCAAGAGGGCCGAAATACTTAAAGCTTCGTGTATAGAGGATGACAGCGAGAAGGATAAGTATCCACAGTTAGAAGAGAGGCCGAATCCTTCGATGGTCCAAAGGGTGGCATTCTTGAACGAGCAGTCATCGTTTGTGGATCGCGAACTACGTTTGTATCAAACTTTTCAACCCCTTCTCCTGTAATCTCGAGTCAAACTCGTGACGAAAATTGTAAACCGAATTCGGCAAATCTAAAGGTTATTCTTTTATTTTTCGTATAAACGAAATGTCACTTGTTTATGATCAATCTTTAACTTTTCATCGAATTGTTTTCTTTTTTTGCTAAATTCTTAACGAAAAAGATAGTTTCACCAAGCACAGTTATGAAAGAAATCATGGAACAAGGGTTTAATGATCCCTAATGCTTGAAGCATGATAACAGCGAAAATAAAACAATATTTCTTCGATCTCGTAATATTGCACGACAGATGAATAATTTTCTGCTGAACTTTGAAATAGATTGAACCTTAATGAAAAGCCTGATAAAGGCAGTTACGCGAAGTTATATAATTCCAATTACGAGGAAGAAAGTTTTTAATGTATCTTCTTTTTTCGATCATTTATTACCCTGTTACGAGGAAAGCGAAATGTTCCGATGGAATTTCAATAAGAGTAAAATTCAACAAAGTATTTAAGTCCGATAAAATGGAACAGGGTCTTTGCTTGGTCTTATCCGGCGACAAAAACGAAGTTCCTCTGCGATGGTGTTAGCGTGGACGAAGAACAAGTCGTAATCGATAGAATCCTTTGTTTTATTAATATTGTTTCGTTGAGAAGAAATATTATTTTACGGTCGTGCGACAGGATTAGAGGAATAAATCGTATCGGTTCGAGTCTTCGGTAAAAGGGGCAAACGTGAAATTACGTGTTCCTCGTTGTCGCGTGTGTTTACAAACAGGGACGCTTAGCAAAAGTACAACCAAAATGGCGGACGGATTGGAAATAGGAGAAGTGGCTGTGCAGTATCTCGCCGAGGGAAATTACGCGCTAGCATTGGAAAGGTTTCAGTCTTGTCTGGGGATACTGGTACCACTGTTAAAGAAAGAACCAGCGGGTAGAAGAAGAGACTTACTGCACAAACAGGTAATTGTGATCACAATTTCAGACCAAATATGAATGACACGATTAAGGCTCGAGGTCACAACACGAGTGAGATATCGGTCGCTGTAATTATGGCCTGGATTTTGCCCGATTAAATGACAGTGCAATGAATTAATTGATAAGAAATATACTCTCGTGGTTTTGTGGCGTTTAAAGAACTTCTGGTGAGAGAGTAGTTTCGATGCTTAACTCCAGAATTTTGTGTTATATTTTACCGCTTACGACGTTTTTCGAAAATTTTCCTACGTTTCCAAAAATGTAGGCCAGCAACGGAGATTCAACGCACTTATCGTATTCGTTTGATATTCGATTTTTGCACTTTAGTACGCATAGCGTCTAGATATTCCTTCCAAATGTTCTATTTTGATTATTTTAATTTTACATGATACACACGTCTGTTCGAATTATATTTCATTATTTTTGTGTTGTTAACTTTTGTTATTTTCTTCTAACGACCAACTTTCTGCATTTTATATACGTGTCTTCAAGCTGAAGACTGTTACTGATAACAAAGTAACAAAATGGAAGTTTTAAAGACATATTAAGAACTACTTGAATAACTATACTTCTGAAAGATCTATAGTATTAATGTTTTAACAATCGATTGTGATAATTTCAATGTTAATATTGATCTTAAGAGACAAACACCCACAAACAACGTGTTCTCCATTTCAAAATATTACAATTTAAAATTTTAGAAATCAATATTTGATTGTTGCTTTAATGTTGTTGCATTTATATTTTAAAATAAATAACTTCTTGAAAAAATTTCTTTTTTAAAACAGGTAAAGTGTGACATATATTGTTCTGCATTACATAGGATTAATTAATAAATATTCGTCGCCGTACTAATCATATATTATGAAAGTAGTAAGACTTGAAAATAATCATACAGTGAGTCACAGCCAAAATCGTACATCACATATACGAATACGTTTCGTCTCGTGAAAAAGTTCAGGAAGGATATGGGGGAAAAAATATCATGAACCTATATTGTAAATGTATCTATATTTATTATGTAGTAGTATCAAAAGGAACAAAGTTGTCTAAATATAAAAAAAACAAAGTTACTATAATTCAGCCTGGAAAACGTCTCACAGCTAAAATCGTACATTTGTAGAAAAGTGACCAACAATT